GCTTAGCTAAGCAGAGGTTCGGCAAAACCCAGCCATTTAGTTAGCGTCAACATTTTTGCTTTTATATATGTTTTTATAACCACTGGCGTTTGAAAGTTCCCAGACACTTGCAGAATTATTTAGCAGAATTGTGCATACAGAATGTTGGTAAACATTGTTTTTTGTAATATATTCGCAAATTGTTATTTTTGTGCTCTTTTATTCGTCACTTGCTATTCCTGGAAGAGATGTACAAATTCATGAATATATTGCAAAAAACAATGTTTACCAACATTTTGTATGTACAATTCTGTATAAATCTAAATAAGGCAAGTGTCCGGGAACTTTCCGATGGCAGTGTCCAGTGTATGTATCACAGAGTTCACACGTTACATCAGATTTTTGATCAATTCATCATTAAATCATTAACTTAATCCTAGGTGCCCATGAACAATGGTACAATGCCGGAATATGGCTTCAATGTTCCTGGTCAAGGGCCATCGCCATACGGATTTAATCCTCAGATGTCCGCGTATCCACCCAGCGATAATCAAGGAGGAGGGGAGTTTGCGAGTCCACAATTTGCTGCGCACGTCTTGGCTCAGCCAGTCGTTACAGATATGGCTGTACAATATGGAAATGCATTGGTTGGTACTGGAAAACAGCATCTCGAGAAATATGTGCCAGTTACAGCGTTGAAATATTACTTCGCTGTAAACACCGATTACGTCTTCGCAAAATTGATGCTGTTGTTCTTCCCGTTTACACATAAGGTAAGCTTCAGGAGGAGACATTGTTTGAAGATGGAGATGAATATATTGCACAGTTGAAACACGTGCTACGCAAAATCAATAATAATTGTTTGTTATAGGACTGGTCTGTTAAGTACGAGCAAGATGTACCGTTGCAACCGCGATACGAGACTAACGCACCTGATATGTATATTCCTACAATGGCGTTTTTCACGTACGTTGCTGTGGCAGGATTAGTTTTAGGCATGCAGGAACGTTTCACCCACGAACAACTCGGTATACTAGCTAGTTCCGCTCTTGCTTGGGGTTTGATCGAATTGCTCGTTCACACTGTGAGTTTGTACGTGATGAATCTTCAAACGAGTCTAGCAACGTTCGACTTGCTGGCGTATTGCGGTTATAAATATGTCGGTGTCAATGCGGCACTGTTGATATCGTTGTTATTTCGAAAGTTTGGTTACTACGTGACGCTACTGTACTTCAGTGCTTCTCTAGCTGTCTTTCTAATGCGATCGTTAAAATTAAGAGTCATTCCACAAGGCCATAGTTCGTACACAGCCTCTGGTAATAAAAGGCGGCTTTACTTTATATTGTCTTTGGCTGGTGTCCAACCTGTTCTAATGTGGTGGTTGTCGTATCATCTGATTTAAATAAGTGTAAAAAAGCTATTATAACAGCATTAACAGCGAGAAAAGGAAAAGAAGGAAGGAAGGAAACGGAGGAAACGTGTATATTTATTATTTGGTTACTAATATCACCTGTACATTTTTTGTAATAAAATCCAACACGATTATATTATCACTTAGATATATGTATGTATAATAACGCATCAGTTCGTTATTATTATTTGACGGATAAAGGCATCTTGTCTTTTGTAATGGATGTCAATCTTGTTGGAACAAGGTATAATTTTGTGAAGACGGAAATCTTGGTAAAAAAAAATCCCTTGAAATAAATTTTTCTATCAATATATCGAGTGGTGTTTCAAAAATCGGCAAGATTCAATCTTATCGATCATCATATTCCCATTTCGAACGTCGGTAATGTTTAATTACAATCGAAATTACCTCGTATCGAACTTGCGAGATGTCGCGACATTTTCCTCGGTGATTCCAGGAATTTTCGTTCCGGCTGATCGCGCCGCGCACGGACTTGGGACAAACGTGGCGCCATTGGTGCCACGGTCGAATTCGGAATCATCGGCCAGCTCGACGCTCGGCCTCCCCGCTCCCGTCTCCGCGTACCCGTGTTGAGCCGCCGCTCTTCACCACGGTGACCGGTGACGGCGCCGCGGTGACGGTCATTGATAGTCGACTGCGAGCCGCGAGAGTCGAGACGCGGTGAATCGTAGGTGATCGTAGGTGTTGCGTGTGTCTCGCGGGCCGCCAGGGCCAAAAATGGCGGAACGGACGAAGGTGACGGCCCCGGCCACCCGGCCCGTTCCCATGAAGCTGTTCGCCACCTGGGAAGTGGATCGCACGCCCCCGAATTGCATACCCAGGTAACGGACGGCGCATTTCGCGACGATTACTCCGGAGTCCGGCGATTGTTCGACCCCCGCGACCCGCGGCGTGGCGCGGCGCGGCTCGGCTCGCCTGGCATTCTTCGACGTTATGGTGGACGCTAAGTAACGTTTCTCCAACTGGGGGCGACGAGCGTCTGGCGTTTGCACGCCCTTTTCTTTTTTACGGGCACGATCTCCCGTGCTTGCTCACGCGACGTGTCCGTTTTGCGACGCCCGTATTTGCGAATGAACGCGGACACGTTGCGTCCTTCTTCGCAGTTGAGTCACAGTCGTATGACACACGCACACGCGTCGCATCTCGCATCTCGCATCCACTTGTGACTCCGAAACGACTGCAACTGTCAACAGAATCTGACAGATCCGCGCTCGTCACGTTCGCGATGAATGAGAGAATTCCGCAATCCTTGATAATATTACGTCGCACTTTGATATTCGTCGCACTTTTTATCGTACTCTTAAACGATGACAGATCGATGTTTATCGTTAATCTTTCGATGTTTACAACCTGACATTTGACACTTGTCGCACAAGTGTCAATACGAGACAAATTATTTCTTGTTTTTGTGAATGTACAAGATTTGTCAAATCAAACTGGAGTAGAATTAATTTAAAGTTAAAATTATTATTTTTTAAATCTATATGTTAAGTTAACGTTCTGGTGGGGCAAAAGTTTTACATTACAAAAAATATGTAATGATATTCTTCAGAAATCATTAAATAAAAAATAAAATTAATCATAGTTTTGAGAGAAATTTCTTGGTGTTGCATCGAATAGATTTCAACAGATTAATAGTAAGTAATTAATATACTCAAGATGTTGTGTAAAGTCTGAATAAAAAAAGAACCACGTTGCGCCACGTTGCGCTTCACATTAATTCGGAAAGTAAGTCGTTCTAACAATAAGAAATGATACGATTCGAGAGTGTTATTTTGTAATGTTCAAAAGTATGTAGCAAACGTTTTTTATCTATCATATATACAATTTACTATACCGTCGAGTAATATAAATGAAAATAGGGCGTTTTTAAGCCCGTGAACGCGCGAGATCGGTGAGACGTTATAGTTGTAATACCGCGAAATTCTTATCTATAGTTTTAGATATCCACAACGCCAACTTTTAAATGCCTGTCTCGCGAAAGCAGGGATGTACGTTCTTTTCACTATAAATACCTTAATCGATTTGGGGGATCGACTGTAAAGTTTATATCGTGCCGCGTATATACATATATCTTTATATATGTGTGTGTGTGTGTGGCTAGCGAACCGCGAACGGCATGTGACGAAATGATGATTACTGCAGTATTTTTGACTCGCACGTACTGCCAAACCACGATGGCCGGCACGTGTTTGGCAAAAGTCAGTGGTTACGTCGGTATAAATTCGGATGCACGACGCGACCAGTCCGACTACGAAATTAACGTTGCCATCGCTAGTTACAATGCTGTCGATTTCCAACAAGTTCCTAAAAAAGATTTTCCGAGGCGCCTTGGATACATACGTGATATTACGTATACGCCACGAGCAAAAGTATAAATATAACGGCGAGATAGGGTATATGTAATCGAAATAACACTCGATATCACGTTTAACTACGCATGCACATTTCAGACGCCTGTGGTCTGCGCTTAAACTAAATTTATACTAAATGATTATGACGCTTATCTTCAATGGTCGCGATCACAGGAATTTAAATATTCCAAATCCCTCAAATACTTGTCCGTACGTTGGAGCAATTTTGTTACTTTGCACTTTGGATCGATTATTTGAAAGCGCTTTTATCGGAAATATTTTTTTTTCTCCATTATTCGGAATAATCGATACATACGGTGATAATGGTAATAGTTATGATGTGAACGTACTGTGTTAACGACAGTGTATATATTTTATTGCATTTTAATACACGAAAACATTGTTCGGTTTAGAAATAATATATTTGTGTATGATTCGGATAATTCGGACAATTTCCAATAGAACGCGTACCGAAAGGATTCGAGTTCTTTAAATACCGCTGACATAACGGATCAAATCCAGATTTAGTTATTTTTCGCGAATCGATCGTATTATCGCAAACGAAATCGTCATCGTGCACATGTATCACTATCACGTAACATGTATAAAATAAATGCGCGCTCGAGTGATAACGTGTGCCACCTGTAGTTTCTGCTCTCTGCGGCTATATTTAGCACTCGCCCCCCAACGCCCCCGGAAACCCTCTTCATAAATAACGATAACCGTCCTTTTCCCCACCGCATGTAATAAGGGTTTCGACGATGTTTCCACTTGGTATAGGCTCTACCGCGCGTATCATCGAGAAGTAAATTATGTACGAAAGGAGATCGGACGGAGTAAGGACCTATTGACCGTAAAAGAAAATTTATTTCATAAAGAGACTTATACACAGCTGCTATTTTAACAGTATATACTTCACTTTCTCACATCATCCTCCTCGACGACGGGTTTTCGACGTTTATATCGTACAACGTTATTACTTTTTCTATTCCGTCGAAGAACATCATCGTTATAGTGTCATTCCTCGCCAAAGTTATCTCCACCAGTTTTCTCTAGCTCTGATAATTTTTTGAAAAAAGTCCTTTTAATCGATTTTATAGCTTACGCGATGAGCGTGCTCGAAAATATCTTCTCATCGGAATTTTTCAAGAGAATTCCGAAGTCTATTACGTGGCTCTTTATCCATAAAAGCCACAAAATTGATGGCGGGTCATATTAACGACCTTGTTTTTTACACGCAGAAATCTCTGACGCAAGGGGCAGTTCGGATATCCAACCTTGGCGGGCGTAGTCTCATTGACTTTAAACCGGAGTATTAACGCGACGATAAGCAAAATAGATGATAACTCGTGTAGAGATACAACACTTTTTTTTATTTTTCCATGAATCACCTTTTAAATTTTGTCGCATACGCGATATCTTGCCATGCGCATACGATAAATACAATCGGCCCTTATCTTCTGAAGGACCCTTGTATTGTACCTTATAGACTTAGACGTCTCAATTGTCATGCCAGTCGTTCCCTTCGAGAAAGAAATTATATTGATCGATATCATCTATTCATGCCTTCCGAAGTGCATACTCAATAGTCTTATACATCGCGAAACAGAGACACATTGGTCGTTACATTTATCTTTGTTTAACTCTGAGTAAACAGTCTCTTTGAATTGTGGATACTATTTATACTCATGCTGCCGAATATATATTTCCGAGATTTCTTCAGATTTCTTCCAGACAATCTATGGATCGAACCTTAAAATATCTTAAAATCTTGAATCTTTATATACATATCTCACTTTGGTTTCGTTTTATTTTTAGGCTGTGTTCCTTGACATTAACTCGATTAGTGATACTCCGACCGCTCGGCTCGGACCTAGCGTCCATCAGCATCGCGGTCAAGATGCAGAGCTCCAAGAGAACTTTGCGTTCGAACGAGATGGCTATACCGCCCGGCGGCATACTCGACACCGAGCTGGAATTGCAATTTGCACTTCAATATCCGCATTTCCTCAAGAGAGACGGCAACAAACTTCTGATATTATTGCAGAGGCGCAAGCGATACAAGAATCGCACGATGCTCGGATACAAGACTCTCGCGGAAGGAATCGTTAACATGGCACAAGTAAGTCTGGTGTTTCACTTTATTCCATCGAAAACAAAATAATTTATTTTTCCTTTAAAGTTGGTATAATTACAATAATAACTCTTATAATAACGAGATAGATCAATAGATCAATATAGATTATATCCTAATAGCGTTACAAAATATATTTTCCGACAAAGATGAAGACGCATCGTGTCGATATTGCATCGGACATAAAATTTCCTTGCCATTGCCAACGATAATCATTTTTTACAGGTGTTGCAGAAGCAAATGGACGTCGAGTTGGAACTCATATCAGATAAGGCGGAAAAATACGGTGGTCACTCGGTTCCACTGGCACGCGTGAGCGTTGTCGCTCTGAGTTCCCAGCCGGTTGATCACGATAAAAGACTGACGAACGATCCTAATGAGAGGCTCTGTCCGGAATTCAGTGACGAGGAAGAGGAGTTTAGCTCGGAGGGCGAGGCGGAGGGCAGCGACAGCGAGCCTACGTTGGAGGTGCATAGGCGGAAGAGTCGCGGGAAGATTCCAACGAA